CAATAACTAAGATGCAAGACGGTACAGGACTTGGCCTTTCAATTTGTAAAAGTCTAGTAGAAATTAATGGAGGAGAAATTAAAGCAGAAAGTCAATTAGGAAAAGGAAGTAAATTTTGGTTTACATGGAATGTTGAATTATTATCAATAGCTTCTTCAGTATCAAATCCTACTCAATTTGATCAAATAAGTTATGTATTACCTAATGTTATAAAACAAAAACGAATATTAATAATTCATCCACTTGAAGATGCAAGAAATTCATTGTTGAATTATCTTAAAGTAATTGAAAAAGTTGATGCTTTTGATACTTTTGACAAAGGTATTAATGCAGCAAAAAGTTATAGAGAATTGAATAATCAATCTGCTTATGATATAGTATTTATTGGACTTTATGAAAATAATGAAGAAGAGGTCACGAAAGCAACATTAGAATTAAGAGAATTAGAAATAGATAATAATAATTTAGTAATAATCTTTATAGTATTTCCAAATAATGAAGAAAATGAATTAGCAGAAAAATTAATTGGAAAAATTGGTGGAACAGCTACGGTTCTCCATACTCCAATTATATGGGAAAAGTTGATTAATTTATTTATAAATATGGAAGGCAACTATTCTGCTATTGATAAAAATAATAAGAGTATGCATGTTAATGAAAATATTATGAAGAGAGTAGCAGATTGTAAGTTTTATAAGCCTGAAGATGCAGATCAAGATCTATCTAAAGGCATGACGAAAAGTGATTCTATGATGAGCAAGTGCATTTTATGTGTGGTATTGTCTCGTTTCTTTTTATTTTTATTAAAAGCATACCTTTTGAGATACGTTGATTTAATATGTTAAATTTCTTTTATAGGATGATAATCCAATTAGTCTAGAGGTAATTTATAAATTTAAAAATATAGTTTCACATTCTTTACTTTCACATTCTTTATTAATTCATTACTAATTCTCTAATTTATTTTTATTGTTTAGTACACATTGCAACAAGTTTCAAAACTTGGTTATTCAACAATTTCTGCAACCAATGGTTTAGAAGCAGTCAAATTGATTGGTTCGAAATCTAACTTATTAAATGATAAATACTCCTCAAGTTCATTATATTCAAATATAGATCAGATAAAGTCTCATAAAATTTCATTGATTTTGATAGAATATAATTTAGTAAGTTTATTTTTCTAAATTCGTCGTTTATATCTATCATGATAAAATATTTATGATTCATTAATTATTATGCTTAGCCAATGTTGTCAGGCGTTGATGTCTCACAAGCAATTAGGGCATTGAATCCACCAATTTCAAATATACCAATCATTGTTTTAACAGCTTTACCAGCGGACGAGATACAAAATAAATGTATCGAATCAGGAATAAATGATTATCTTGCAAAACCTTTGAAAATCGAAGAACTTGAAAATGTTCTAACTAAATGGATTGATAAAAATTAAAACTAAGGCCACACAAATTTAATATCTTGGTTTTCATAACATGAAACTTTTAAACAGACCCGGCCGGCAGGCTTTTTTTTTAATTTTCATATATAAAAATTTTTTTAAAAAACCTACTCGGTTAATAAAAATATAAAAAAATTTTTTTTACAAGTTTTCAAATTTTGACCCGACCGGGTTATGAAAACCAATTAATTAATTTTGCATGGCCAATTATGATTTAAAAAAATTAGAACTATGATTAAAAAGCATTGTTAATTTCTAAATATTTTTGTAGTTATATGTTGCAAGTTATACGTATTTTATCTATATTCAATTACTTCTTAAGCATTTATTCCCGTTATAATTTATATGATTATCTCTATCTTTTCATAATTGTATTCCTTTTTCTCCAAAAAACATTTTTTTAATTAATAAATGATGATATTTATATTTACTCAGGATTGGTCAAATTGTAGGTGGACCTCTAACAAATCGGTTTGGTCAAATGGTAGCGTTATGATTAGGGTGAATTTTATAAAACTGAGGGTCAAATCGCCACTTAATATCATGTGATTTAAGTTCTACGTAGAGAAATCTATTTTTAAAGAATAGAGAATAAGTACGATAACTAATAAAGATAATTATTATTCATACCTCTATTTTTACGTACATAGAAATTCTGGAACAGGTTACGTTAATCTCCGAATTTCAAACTCGACATTATAAACATTAATATTAATCAAATATAATGCTTTATACGAAAAGAACTGCACGCATACCAGGAACGGTGTACGAAATACATAGGGTATGGTTTACTTGCGAGTGAAATGGTGTGTGCGATTCTTGACGTATGATTGGGTGATCCATCATTGTG